TATATAGTCTTTGTTTTGTTTCTGATTTGCAGTGCTAGGGATGGAACCCAGGACCTCATACATACTTGGCAAGACCCCCACCACTGAGCTATAACCCCAGTCCCCATACAAATTTTTCTTAACTGTCTTACCTGATCAAATCGTAGCACAGGTTCATTTGAATTATCAAAACTATATACTTCCACCATTCCATCATCTCTTCCAACAAGGAAATCTTTAACTCCATCACCCAAAATATCAAAGCTATCAATACACAAGATACCTATTTTTTTTTTAAAAAAAGCATTAAGTCATGAGTTAGAAAATCAATAGTTGAAGTGAAATACATACTACATAAGAATGAAAAAAATATTTTTCTGGTCTTTTTGAGACAGGGTCTCCCTGTAGCCCCAGCTGGCCTGGAACTCACTGTGTAGACCAGGCTGGCCTTGAACTCACAGAGATCTGCCTGCCTCTGCCTCCCAAGTGCTGGGATCAAAGGCGTGCACCACCATGCCCGGCTCAGGAATGAAAACTTTTAATAACTCAGAACTGGATAGTATAAAAAGAGCAAGTTTGTACACAATCAGGTGCTTTTCTCCTTTCCATCCACATTCATCTATTTCCGAGGTTTTATATACAATTTGCATGACAATATATGCACTTTTTTTTTTTTAATCTCCCTTTAGCTCTGGCCTCTCTGAGTCCCGGAGTCATATGTTCAATTTGGCATCTTCTTGTACATGGACATCTCAAACTTTTCATGTCCCAAGCAAAATTATTTTTCTTTCCACCACACTCCACCAATCTCACTCCTCCAATCTTCCTCCATGCCTAGTAAACTGTGCCATTCAGTTGCCCAGGCTAAAGAAATCTAGGCTTTGCCTCTGATGCCTGTCTTCCTACTCCCCACAGCAAATCCACTACCTCCACAGTATATTCTGAATTTCTCTTCTCTTCATTTCCAACAATAGTTAGCCTGGACTAGGATACTCTGGAGTAGAATAAATGACAACAACTACAAAAAGCAACTTCTAAATGATTCCTAAGTTTCCAATGTTGACCTGTTTCTCCCCAAAATCCACTCTATGCAATGTATTTTGCTTCTTTTTAGTGAATTTGATCATGTCACATCTCCCACATACAATTCTCCTAAGACTTCCCACTATACTTAATTAAAATCTACTCCTCCAAGGCTTACAAATACCTGTGCAGCACTCCACATCTCTGACTTCCCAAGCTATGTTAATTTACCAAGCCACACTGGCTTTCCTACTGATCCTCCAATGAATCATACTTACCTCTGCCTCAAGTATTCTGCAATCATTTTTTTCCTCCTCTTGGAATAGTCTTTCTCCCAAATCTTCTTGGCTAATTTCATCTCTTCCAAGGCACTTCCTCTGACCACTCAGACTATAACACTACACTGCTACATCATCTTCAGATGACTAGGTGAAGCTATCTCATGTATACATTCATTTATTCTTTGTCTCTCCTAGCAAGTATTTATTAAAGGAATAAATGAATACATGAACAAATACCCTGTACATATAAAACAGCCATCTCAATATAAATGAGAAACATAGAAATTCCTTAAAAATATGAATATTCCCTTGACCCACTACTACACTTCTTTATAGTCTATCACTCTCAGGTTCCAATTAATTCTCTATTCCGATTAAAAGTGTAGCTTAGCATGGTATATTGGATGTTAACCTACATGTCTATCCCAAATTACAAGAAGCATTTCTTATTTTTAAAATTATGTCTACAGTAAAACAGACCTCACAAACAAATAGTAGATTAGTCAAAAGTAGCTCCATGAATCACAAAGAATGCTTTATAATAAAACAAAATGAAGTGTATACTCTATATTATTAAATAATCATTCAGAATCCGAACTGTATGAAAAGCATACCTCCTCTCTTTTTGTCATTTCGAATTTCCCACTTGTGTACTGGTTTGGATGTAGTGATCTGAATAAGCCCAAGTTTTCCATCTGATGTGCCAAACAAAAGATCTTCTCCTGAGTCACCTAGTTAAAATTAAAGTGAACATATGAATACTATCTCTTTTAAAATAAAAGATTTTCATGTAAAAATCTCGCTTTTAAGATCTTACACAGAAGAAACATTAATTTGGGGCAATTGTTACATATTCTCAGAACTATAAAGCCATGGAGGCAAGCCTATTCCTATCATCTAATTTCAAGATGAAGAAATTCAGTAACTCCTGATCAGAAAAGAAGCCTCAATTCTAGTACATTCTGTATACAAGCTCCTATTTTCACTTAGTAATTTTCAGACATGTAGTTGGCTATGAAAACTGAAATCTGATTACCACCATCTCCATTGTGTAGGGCTAAGACTGTAGGTGGTCCAGGAACTTCAATTTCATATATCACATCAGATCCCTGAAGGAGAACAAGAATTTAAAAGCTGAACTGAAGCAAATCTGAAAGAATATGGGCAATCATAAATAACATCAACATTCAAATATAGTACTCTTAAGAACATTTAAAATAAAACTGCTTAGAGAAAGTATATCATAGATAGCAAGCTGTATTGGTTAGTAATTTTACATGTATTAACATATTTGAAAACAAAATACGTAAATACCAAGGAAAAAATAGTCTTTACTTTCAATAGTTCTCATTTTTAATATGTTATCTGAAACTCAATCTCACACTGGTAAAACTCCTTTTGAAACTTTCCAGGAACAAGTTTTATTTCTTCCGTGTTCTCTAGTGTTAACTGGAGAGTTTAGCATATAGTGTATTCAAAACTCTGAGCAGACCCAAAGTTACTTCCTAAGGAAAATTCTGGCCTTGCCTTTTAGTATTTCCCAGACCCACCCCAGTCAAAGGCAGAACTATCTACTACCTAGATCAGAAAATAAACTGGTCCTTTTTAATATTTTCTAAAAATTGGCACTAATATAATTCAATAGATATACTACTTTCAAAATTTTAACATATAGTTAGAACACAGAAAACACCCATATATGTATTGTTCTAAAATTTTAAGTATTTGTATATAAACTACACAAAATTATAAAAGAAGTAAGCTTGGGAACGGATTATTCTCAAAAGCAGATGGGCAAGAGAAATAAGCAAAGAGCTCAATCCCTTCCTTTCCACAAATCCTCAGTGACATCTTTAAAGATTTATATTCATTTTTATCATATGTGTATATGTCTGCGTGAGTATATGCCACATATGTGCAAGTGTGGAGTCCAGTAAAGGGCATTGAATCCCCTGGAGCTAGAATTAAAGGCAGTTGTAAACTGCCTTATGTATATGCTAGGAATCAAACTTGGGTCCTCCAGGAGAGCAGCAAGTGCTCATAACTGCTAAGCTTTCTTTCCTTTTTTAAAGTTTAAAGCCTCATTTAATTGTATGTCTTATAGGGTTTATACTGAGTACAATATTGTATAACTGTATTAATTCAACTGTAAACCTAAAACTTTACAGCCAATTTTGAAGGAGATGCATCTAAGCTCTGGAAATTGTTATTGGAATTTTATGTCTTACAGGGCTTATACTGAGTTCAATATTGTATCACTGTATTAATTCAACTGTGAACCTAAAAATTTACAGCCACCTTTGAAAGAGATGTATCCTTGCTCTGGAATGTCTTACTGAATATGTTAAAGCTATAATGAAATGCTTCTTCTAATCATGTGGTTATTAAATTTAAAAATATTTTAAAAAATAAAATAAACTTTAAAAAAGAAAAGAGAATATGCCCATGTGTGGTGGACACCTTTAATCCTAGCACAGGAGGCAAAGGCAAAACAGATCTCTGTGAATTGGCCAGCCTGGTCTACATAGTAAGTTCTAGGCCAGCTATAGATATACAATGACCTTCTGTCTCAAAAATAAATAAATTAATATAATTAAATCTTAATTTTAAGTTTTTAAAAAAGAAATATGGATATCTTCTGTAAAATTAAGCAGAATTTCAGAACTCAGGCAAATGTTATCTTACTCCTGTTTTTTTTTTTTGTTTGTTTGTTTGTGACATGATCTCATATATCCAGGCTGGTCTCAGACTCCTTATATAGCTGACAACGATCTCAAACTTCTAATCTTCCTGCCTCTGCCTATCCCACCAGGTTTAAATGTGCAGGGATTCATGCATGTCAGGCAAGCATTCTACCATTTATTTATCAAACAAATTATTTACTGAGTACTTTATTCTACATTCCATGATAAAATGGTCAATAAATTCAAATTATTTATCCACTCCCTCTTCTACCCAATTTCTTCCTTTGATTTGAATTTTTAGGAAACAAAAGAGAGAGAGAGGAAGAGGGGAAATTGCTGCCAACAGTTCTTATATCAAAATATTCTGAGTGGACTATTTCAGGAAAGGAGAATGAAGAGGCTTTCTAAAAACTTTCAAAAGAGTACAACACTTCAACGTCTCAAGTGAAAGAGAAATTACCAATTAAATGTAAAACTCTTTTCTCATATACAACTTTATGTAGAACACTTAAAAGTAATAATCACTCCGGGTGTGGTGGTGTACCCCTTCAATCCCAGCACTTGGGAGGCAGAAGCTGGCGCCATCTCTTGTAAGTCTACATAGTGAGTTCCAGGTCAGCTGGGGCTACAGGGAGACCTTGTCTCAAACAACAAAATAAAACAAAAAACAAAAACAAACAAAAAAGTAGTAATCACTAAAGTGATTTTATCTCAAGTATACAACACTCCTAATTAATTTACCTAAATATTGAAAAGTTATAAAAATGCAAAGAACATCAACCTGTAAAACTCGGAGCACCCTGTCCTGGCAGGCCAGCACTGGCATCATTCGAGGTAATCTTTCCACAGGAAGGCAAATAACATCGTTGATTTTGTCCCCGGAGAGGTAATAATGTTGGTCTTTGCAATCACAATAATGATTATAGATGTAACTGGCACTAACAAAGAGGTCAGAGCCAGATATGTACCTGAGAACATTAAAAGAGTCATACATTAAAAAGCATCCATATTTTATAGCATAGGTAATTATTTTTTTTCAGAGATGAAGAACAGTTTACATTTTACTATCATTTTATCACATAGGTTTTTTGGTGTTTTGTTTTGTTTTGATTTTCCTGAGTTAATTTCTATCCTCTTTCTTTTTTTCTTATTTTTCAGTCTTATTGAGACAGGGTCTCCCTGTAGCCTCAGCTGGACTGCCTGGGCCTCCCAAGTGCTGGGATTAAAGGCTTGTGCCGCCACATCTGGCTTTTAAAAAACAACAAAAAACAAAACAAAACAAAAGAAACAGGGTCCCCTGTTGCCCAGGCTGGCCTTGAACTCACTCTACAGCTCAGGATGACCTTGAACTCCTGATCTTCCTTCCTGCCACCTCCCAAGTGTGGGAATTATAGGTATAAGCTATGTAGCTGTAATTTCTAGACTTCTGATATAATAATTTTTTTTATTTTGAAAGTTGAGAAAATGAGGATTATAAGGTCTTAAGCATGTCAATAAAAAGCTCAGAAAAACTGAAAAAAAAACCACTTTTTAAAATGTATATAATGTAGCAAGCACTGCTTTACTTGACACACTCAAATTAGCGTCATTAAGGCTCATAACTCTATACAGAATATTATCCCTTTTATAACAGAATAACACAACACTAACAAGTGTGACGGCTCAGAGTAAGTGGTAGACTGCAGTGCAGGTATTTTAGCTTTCAAGTTAGCTTCCTTACTACCACACTAAATTGCATGGAAAAGTCCGTTTGAAGGGAAACTACTTTAAAGTAAATGATAAACAGTGGTACAAGTTTTCATTAAAAACTTTTCTTGAAAGTAGAAATAAAAATAAGTTTGCACCAAATTGCTTTATTTTTTAACAAAATTTAACTACTTATCAGTGCAGGTATTTTAGCTTTCAAGTTAGCTTCCTTACTACCACACTAAATTGCATGGAAAAGTCCGTTTGAAGGGAAACTACTTTAAAGTAAATGATAAACAGTGGTACAAGTTTTCATTAAAAACTTTTCTTGAAAGTAGAAATAAAAATAAGTTTGCACCAAATTGCTTTATTTTTTAACAAAATTTAACTACTTATCACAACAATTTTTTACTTCTTGAGTTGGATACAGTTTCTTCTTTTTTTTTTTTTGGTAGAGCTGAGCATTTTTTATAAAAATTAAATATGCTATTAAATTATCTATAGAATAGTGTAATACAAGTTGAGCTATCCCAATCTGAAAATCTAAAATGCCCAAAGCCCACAACTTTTTGAGTGCCAAAGTGGGATTCAAAGGCTTTTATAATTGGGAACACATCAGATTTCGGAATTTTGGATTAAGAATGCTCAACTAACAAAATCTTTGCAGATATTCTAAAATTCAAAAACTCCAAGATCTGAAACTCTCTGGTCCTAAGCATGACCAAGAAGGGAAACTAAGCCTGCATAACATTTATTCCTACATTGCTATCTCCAAATAATCATGAAAAGAGCAATTTGATTAGAAGGCTTCATCTATTTTTCTACCTCTAGGGTTCATTCAAAGAATTTAAAAAAAATTTTATTTTAATTTTTTATGTGTATGAGTGTATTGTCTGCATGTATGTTAAGTGAACCCATGTAATGCAATGCCTGAAGAGGTCAGAAGAAGGCGTTGGATACCCTGGAACTGGAGTTACTGACGATTGTTAGTCACCACATGGGTGCTGGGAATTGAACCTGGGTACTCTGCAAGAGCAGTCAGTGCTTTAATTTTTGAGACTAACATTATTCTCTAAAGAGCTTATCCTATATATCTTTAGTTCTTAAGTGGCTTTACTTTGTGGCTCTCTATAGTCAGATAATATGTTTACCAACTTTATGGAAGTCTGTATCTTTTTCAAGATTTACAATTCCAATTTTTTCAAATCAATCTGTATTATAATTGCATCATACTGCCTTAGTACTATTTAGCAATCAATATTGAACAGGGTGGTGATGGATCACATACAGCACTAAGAAGAGAAAGTTATCCTGGGCTGATCAAAAAAAAATTTTTTTTGTCTTTTTGAGACAGGGTCTCCCTGTAGCCCCAGCTGGCCTGGAACTCACAATGTAGACCAGACTGGCCTTGAACTCACAGAGATCCACCTGCCTCTGCCTCCTTAGTACTGGGATTAAAGGTATACACCAATAAATTTTATAAGTAGTTTCCTAATTGAATATTTTAAAGTTACAGTCTTTGTTTTCCTATGTAGTCATATAAATATGACAATTCAGAAAATAAATTTGTAAAAATTAGGTAATGAACTTTCCCCATCCTATCACTGCTATTCCAGTTAAAACATATAAGAAACTGTTCAAAAAGACTCTGGGAAATGCCTTATCTTTCTCACACCTCTGTCCATATTACCTCTCTGGATATAAAGGTATTATTTTACTTGATTTTAGCATTTCAAAATTATCAGTGGCTGTGTTTATCTACAAAGGCATTTAAAACATGTTCATTCTCTTGCCTCTGTTGAATTCTTATCTCACCAAGTCAAATCAAGAGCAATGCTATGCACTGCATAGAATGACACAGAACGTCTGTCTACTACACAGAAGGATGGACTAATCAACTGTTTCCAGACCAGTAATCTGCTGCACATACAACTTGGCTGCATGAAATCAAAGGAAGAACTTCTAAAAAAAAGCCCACTCCATTCAGCAGTGTGAAGTAGAATACCATTTGTTTAGGCTTTCCAGCTGGTTGTGGGTTAGCAGAATTAAGAACCAGATTAGTTTCAAAGCCTTTCTAGCCCCATGATGCTGTGTGGGTGAAGAGTTTGTTGTGCAAGTCTGAGGACCTGAATTTGCTGCTGAAACCAACACAAATGTGGAAGAAGACTGACTCCACAAAGCTTCCACCTGACTCTTGAACCATAGCACATGCATGTCCCCCACTTCTCTCTCTCTCTCTCTCTCTCTCTCTCTCACACACACACACACACGCTAAAAAACAAACCTAAAATTTTAATTGCAAAATTTCACATATCAGGAAGTCATTTGTTCTTCACTTAGTCTTATCCAATTCACTTGAAATAGAAACCTATCACTGGTCATCAACTTTAATGACCAGGCTTTTGTTTTATCTTTCGATTTTTAGAGACTGTCTCATTCTGTAGCCTAGACTGACCTAGAACTTGTTATTTAGTCCAGTCTGGTCTCAAAAATCACAGCAATCCTCCTATTTTAGCTCCTAAATGTACTGAACATCACTCTGTGTCCCCTAATGCACACAATTACTAAGTGTCCATGAAAAGATACAAAACATATTGTTAGAAAAGCTTCCCCCCAAAAAAGTGACTGCTTATATACATATATATACATACACACACACAGGTATACACAGATATAAAATATGAAGTTATCAAGAACAACTTTTCAATAGCCAATAACTTTGTATTGATTCTAGGTCAAATTTTGTTTTTGACTAATAAAATACCTGTAGCCAATTTTATTTTCCAGAAGATATAACAAGATATAATTTAAATGTGTCTTATATCAATTCAAAACATAAATACATAAAAATTGAAGAGAATAAATACATACATACATAGCTTTAATACTTTCAGTAAGGTTTGTTTCAAAAGAGAGAAACTGTTTTCCTCTCTTTGTGAAGCCTCTAATCTCAGATCCTGCAGCAATGAAAATTTTCTCCTGAGGTGTGTTAAGAACCCCTCCTAGTTCCAGCCTGGCAATCTTCTGCCCTGGTAAAGTCTTGAATACTGCCTGCAAAAGTAAGTACGCAAGTTACTGCATTATAAATATTTTTCACTTACCATTTTAAATTTACCAAATATTACAATTTATTTCAAATTTCTATATTGTAGGGAAATTTTAACTTAGGAGTATTCAATAAATCCTTTGGTAATCCCAAACCCCCTCCCCTCTAAAAATAGCTACACTCACTGCTGCTTCTCCTTTCTTCATGCCGAAGCACATGACAACCCCATCTTGATCTCCAACAACCACCTGGAACAGATTGATGAATATACATTTACTATTACTGTGAAAACTTCCTCAGTACAGTTTCAATTACACAAGGCACCAATGTCTAAGAAACCACATCAAGGTTAAGGAGAGTACCAAAAGAGTTACAGTTTTCTGAAAGAGCTACTTAAACACCTTTCTCTACTTTCAACTATGTATCTGTTTAAGCTGGATTTGCTGGCTTTTTTTCATGTATTTCAATCTAAACAAAACATCACAACAGACTGAGTGCAAAGAACAGACACAAGGGAGTTGGGGAGATGGCTCACTAGTTAAGGGCACTGGCTGCCCTTGTAGAGGACCCAGCTTCAATTCCCAGCACCCATATGGCAGCTATCAACCATCTGTAACTCCAGTTCCAGGGGATCTGACTCTGAAGGCATTGCACGACATGGGTGCATTTGTACACATACAGGCAATACACTCATACACATGGAAAAAAGTTAAAATATTTAAAAAAAGAACAGACACAAGAATTCATCTCCCTTTGTTTATGCTAGACCATGAAGAGTTTGTAACATATTAACATTCTCTAAATTCTTCCATTTTGAAAAAGACTTTTAATATAACTATGTAAACATGATTTATGATTTTTAATATTTAAAAATTTTCTTAGCTTTAATTTTAATATAGTAAATATTGATATAATTTTACACATAAACTCTTTGAGCTCTTAAACAATTTAAATGAGTAAAAATCTGGCCTGGAGACATGGCTGAGCAATTAAGAGCACTGGCTGCTCTTACAGAGGACCTGGGTTTGATTCTCAGCACCTATCTGGAGACGAACCATCCATAAATAACTTCAGTTCTAGGGAATCTAACACCCTCTTCTGGCTTCCTGCACGACATGGGTACACTTAGATACATGCAGGCCTAACATTTATACACATAAAATAAAAATTAAATTTTTTAGGATGTGCTGATCTAGCTGGTTGAATATAATAAATGATAATTCGAAATCTGTTGATTCTCTTAGAATTCTGTTTAATATGTCAGGTTTCCCTCACATATTAAAATATCCTATTTATAAGAACTGCCCTTATTCAAATCACTTCAAAAAATGTAACCAAATGTGTTTAAGTCGGTTTATCAAGAAAAAGATTATTTGGCTGGAGACGTGGCTCAGGAGTTAAGAACACTTGCTGTCCTTGCAGAAGCCCCAGGTTCCATTCCCAGCATCCACATGTAGCTCTATCACCCTCTTCCAGCCTTTGAGGCTACTATACACATAGCAGTATACATATAAAAAATCAAAACACTTATACAAATATGAATAAATCTTTTTTTTAAAAAAGAAAAAATCTATTGACTCATCTTGATAAAATGATTAACATATCAGGATGACATTTACTTTGTAGCTATTAAAATATACTACTATCATAAGAAATTAAAATTGTTTTATGCCTAGGAAAAGTCAGTAGTTAATACAAAGTTCAACATAAAGACAGTAACTTTTTGCTGGGCATGGTGGCACACACCTTTAATCCCAGCATTAGGGAGGCAGAGGCAGGTGGATCTCTGTGAGTTCTAGGCACCTTGCCTCAAAAAGACCAAAAACAAACAAACAAACCACCAATAACTTTTAAAAGAGTAAGCAAAACATTAAGCCAGGTGTGATTGTACACACCTATAATCACTGCATTTTTGAAACTGAGACAGGAAGATTAAGGCCGACCCAGCATGGTGGTACCCAGCTTTAATCCCAGCACTTGGGAGGCAGTGGCAGGCACATCTCAAGGCCAGTATGGTCTATATAGCAAGTTCCAGGCCAGCTGGGGCCATAGGAAGACCCTGACTTAAAAAGAGTTCAAGGTCAGCCTCAGCTACATGAATACAGGAAACCTTGTCTCAGAAAACTTTAAACTTCAAACAAATTATTTTCTCAATATTCTGTTGTAGTTTGTGCTTTTTCCACATTTAAACATTCATGCACAATCTGGTGTACATAGAGTACATTACTACCATTATTTTGACTGATTTTTGTACTGCCAGGGACTGACCATAGGCTCTTCTATATGATAGGCAAGTTTCTACCACTAAGCTACAACCAAGTCCCAAAATGTATGGCTTTTAAGTTTTCTCACACGACTTATGAATTTTACATAATTTTAATGCTCAAGAAAATAACTATCTGTAAATGTTCATATTCCAACTTCTATTCAAATTAAGATAAGTTTATTTCCATTTTAACATTAGCATTTTTTACACACTAAGTTACTAATAAAGAAATGTGAGCAGTTCCTGCCGAGCTAGGAGAAATGGCAAAACCAATGTCTGCCGCACCTTTTGTGTAGCACTCTGTCTTGAGGCAGGAAGCAGCTTCATAGTCTTCTGAGAGGTGACCCCCACCTAAGGAAACAAACCCCCACTAGTGAAGGTGCTCTGACACACTTTAATTTGAAATTACTACATCAAAAATTTAAAAAGAACAGTAGATCAAGTCATAGAGGACTTTGATTTTTCTCACTCATCAGTGAACTTACATTCTAATGAAATGTCACAAGTCAGAAAATAGGAAACACATATTGTAAAATGTACCCTATTAAGTAAAAAAATAATTATATAAGAGCCAGGTTTGGTGGCTGGTGGCATATATCTTTAATCTCACCACTTGCAGAGGCAGGCAGATCTCTGAGTTCAAGGCCAGTCTGGTCTACAGAGCAAGTTCAGGCTTTGGAACTATGTCTATATATTATTATATAGCATTACTGGTAAGGTGTTTCAGAAAGTATTTTTAGAAGCCTTTCCCAATTTCATATGGTTGAAACAGACTACTTATGGAAAATACAGCACTGAAGGATTTTTCCTGAAATAACAAAAGCACTGACAGTAAAAAAAACATCCAGTGTAAACAGATGATAGTTTTAAAGAAGGTCTAGGGGTGAAAGCAGCAGGCCTTGTTCAGGGTACCTGTCACTATGGAGATGTACATAGTTATGGGAGGATTTGACTAGCTGAACAGAAGTTGAAGAAAAATAACCAATCATGGAAGAACCTGGATATACTACAGATATGATTTTATTCTGTATGTCTAATAGTATTATTGTTTCAACATGGGGCTGGAGAGATAGCTCAGAGGTTAAGAACACTGGCTGCTCTTGCAGAAGACCCAGGTTCGATTCCCAGAACCCACATGGTAGGTAACAACCAAACTCCAGTTCCAGGGGTATCTCACACCCTCTTCTGACCTGCATTGTACAACACGGGTGTGCTTACATACATGTAGGCAATACACACAGACACACACACATAAAATAAAAATAAACAAAATATTCTTAAGTTTCAATACAACCAAGCATTTTTGATGTATCAACCAAGTGATATGAAAGATGGTTTGGAGGAAATTGAACCGGGAGGCTGCAGGCCCTGTCAGGAGACTGTTAATTATCCAAGCAAAGATGAGAGTGCAAACTGAAAGTCAAGGAGATGGTGACTAATGAACGGATCCACGAGAAATTTAGGGGACAAAAGCGACAGGATGCATAATCAGCTGGGTATAGAGGATATTAAAGTACATAGTCTAACTCCCTGGGAAACTAAGCAAACGTCTGTAGTATCAGCTAGAGGTTGGGAGAAAAGGGAGAACCAGAATAGATGATCTAGGGCTGGAAGAAGTCCTGTCACAGAATAGACGCCAGCTCTGGAGTCTCAGACGTTGGTTCAAATGGCAGCTACATAATTTTTAGCTATGGAGTTAATGATTTACCTTCGCTGGGCCCTGCATCTCTATTTGAACCATTTATCTACTCTGGGCCCTGCATCTCCATTTGCACTATCTATTTCGTAAAAATTCTGTGACGATCAAGTTTGCTCAATAGGTTGTGATGGTTTACTGGGCTCCGGCAGTACATCAGCGCCGGGGTGACTTGGAGGCCGAGGCTCCGGAGCAGCAGGGACGCACGGCCCAGGCCCGGCCGCCGCAGCTTTACCTGGAGATAATCCGCCCGGCTTAAGGTCAGGTCCATGGCGCTGTACATAGCCGGAAACAGGAGCACACAGCAGCCACTCGCCGGGGCCGCGTTCTGAACTCAGGGGTCCAGATGCCGGCGTGCTGCCCACCCCGCTGGGTGACGTCACGCTCTACGTAACTGACCCGAGCCAGTGAGTAAGCCTCGTCCCTCCCTGGAGCCCGCCCCCATGAGAGGACGCTCCAATCAGAGGGAGCAGGGTGTAGTGGGCCGCCCTGGACCGCTCGGTTTCCAGGGGAACCGGGCGCTCTGCAACCTGCTTCCGGGTGTCCTCAAGTTCGTGCAACGTTCTGGAGAAGCGCAGGTTGTGGTGGGTTCTACTCTTGGTTTTTCCACTCTAGCAAACATTTGACCTTAGGCTTACTCTTAAAAACTGAAGCCGCACGAGGGTGGTGGTGCGTGACAGTAATCCCAGCGCTCAGGATGCAGAGGCAGGCGGATCTCTGAGTTTAGGGCCAGCCTCATCTATATCAGTTCCAGGCCAATCAGTCTGCACAGTGAGACTTTGTCTTAAACAGATAACCTGAAGATTCAAAGGGCTTTTTGTTTCTGGGTTAATATTAGCATTTACTGTGTTGGACATTAAAATAAAAAAAATTTTAATCCCGTTGTATAAATATCTTAAAATGTATATTAAGAAAATGATAGGACGACTGGTATTGTATGCTTATCTATTCACTTTCCGCCCTACTAGTACCAGGTAGGAGTCCTGGATCTGTTTCTGTATTCAATCTATTGTTGTATGTTGTCTCGTTTAACTTTCTGAATAAAACTGGCTCAAATAACAAGTGGTCGATTTGTTTTGAGACAGGGTCTCATGTAGCCCAGAACTGGCTTCAGGCTCACTTTGTAATCAAGGATGACCTCGAACTTCTGATCCTGTGTTCCCACCTCCTGAGTGCTAGGATTACAGGTGCATACCACATCCACAGGTTTAGTCCTGAATAGAACCCAGAGCATCTTGCAGGCTAGGCAATCCCTATATCAAATACCATGCCCAGTTTATTTGGAAATGGAATCCAGAGCACCCTGAATGCTAGGCAATCAACTGAGCCCAACCCCCAAATTGTAGTTTGTGGTGTTTTTTTTTTTTTAATTTTATATGTATGAGTGTTTTGCCTGCATGTATGTAAATACACCTGTGTTGTGCAGTGCTCCCAGAAGCCAGAAGAAGGGTCAGATCCCCTGGAACTGGAGTTACAGATGTTTGTTAGCCTTCATGTGGGTGCTGGGAACTGAACCCAGGTCCTCTGCAAGAGCAGTCAGTGCTCTTAACCGCTGAGCCATCTTGCCAGCACACCACACCACCCCCACCAAGTAGTTTTTTTAAGCTTAGATGCAATGTAGAGTGTGATTTTATTATATAAAACAGTCTCCACCAGGAAAATCTCATTTGTTACTATCATTACAGATTTCATCAGAGAAGTCTTGAATTGGAAAACCATCAAACTCAAATAGCATATGATTTCCAAAATTCCCAGGTCTAGATAATCATAATTTGTCAGTAGTGCCTGTAAGTTTTTTTTTTTTAAATCATGTCTTGGGGCTGGAGAGATGGCTCAGTGGTTAAGAGCACTGACTGCTCTTGCAGAGGACCTGGGTTCTATTCCCAGCACCTACATGGCGGCTACGAACCGTCCTTAACTCCAGTTCCAGGGGAATCTGAAGCCCTCTGCGCCATTACTCAACACGGGTGCACTCACATACATGTAGCCAATACACTCATACACATAAAATAAAAATTATTTTTTAATTGTGTCTTATGGAAAAAAATCCAGCAAGTTCAGATTGCAACTCAAACGGTGCTTTTCCTTAAAACAACTAATGTACTTCGTGTGCAGGATGCTTTACAAATGTTTCTTATATTTTTATATGATTAAAAAAACAGGAGAAACTGAAAGATAAAAAAGTAGACATTTCAGCTGTTACCACTGTTCATAGTGGTACACATCTGTAATCAGAACTGGGGAGGCTGTTCACAGCAAGACGCTGTCAGAAAAATCAAAGCATGACAAAAACACCAAAGAAACAAATATTAAACCTTAGAATAAATGGATAGACTGAAGGTGGAGGACACAGAAAACGTGTCTGAATACACGAACAATAAGCACTGAGAAGTCACCCAGCAGAGAGAACCTCAGAATCGGATGACTTCACTGCTGGATTTTGCCAAAGTTCGGAGAAAAAAAAACCTACTTCTTCTCAGACTATGCCCTAAAATTGAAAGGGAGGAAACTCTTCTATTAAGCTAGAATTTCCTCACGCCAAAACCAGATGAGGGCACAGTGAAAACAGAAAATACACACACACCCTGTGATCCTTGTATGCACCAGAATTGTGAGCCATAATGAGTTTCCTCGGGAGCTGTGGAGATGGGTCAGTGGTTAAGAATGTGTACTGCTTATACAGAGGACCTGAGTTCAATCCCCAGCACCCACATCAGGTAGTTTACAATCACCTATAACTTCAATTCCAGGTGATCTGACACCTCTGGCCTCCACAGGCACTACACTCATGCACATACTAAAACACGGCACACACATGTACACATAGTTAAAAATAAATCTTTAAAAAAGAAAAATAAACCTTTTTTCTCTATAATCTAAAATAGAGAATGAAAGAAGAGAAGGAAGGAAAGAAGGAAATGGAAGGAAAACTCTAGACCAAGGTCACTGGTAAATATAGATGTAAATTTTTCTTTTATTAATATTTTACTTGTTTTTATTTTATGTATATGAGTGTATTGCCTGTATGTAAGTGCATCCATGTTGTGCAATGTCTGTAGATGTAAAATTTTCAACAAAACTAACAAGTTGATTCCAATAGCACATCCGAAACAGGATGGACTAGGTCTGGCGATGCATGCCTGTAATTCCAGCTACTCAAGAGGCTGAGGCAGGGAATAACTAGTTCAAGGCCCCGAACAACATAGTGAAATCTTGTCAATAAATAAATAAATAAATAAATAAATAAATAAATAAATAAATAAATAAATAAAAAGACTGGCGAGATGGCTCAGCAGTTAAGAGCTCTGACTGCTCTTGCAGAGGACCCTGGGTTCAGTTCCCAGCACCCACATGACAGCAAATCATCTGTAACTCCAGTTCCAGGGGAACCAACACCTTCTGATATCTGTGGGCATTACACAGTATGGGTGCACTTCCATACATGCAGGCAAAACTCATACACAGAAAATTTTAAAAAACAAGAGAAAAAAACAAAGCCAGGTATGGTGGCACATGCCTCTTTGTGAGATCAAGGCCAGACTGGCCAGCTGGAGCTACATAGAGACCCTGTCTTAAAACAAACAAAAACAAAAACAAAAAGTAAAGCTGCTGTGGTGGTATCCTCCTTTAATCTCAGCACTCTGGAGGCAGAGGCAGACAGGCAGATTGTTTTTTTTATTTTTAATTTGAGGCCAGCCTGTTCTGTAGAGTGGGGTCCAGGACAGCCAGGATTATATAGTGAGGCCCTGTCTTAAAAATAAATAAGCATAGCCAAGCATAGTGGCTCACGACTTTAATCCCAGCACTAGGGAGGCAGAGGCAGGTGGATCTTTATGAGTTCAAGCCCAGCCTGGTCTACATAGTGAGTTCCAGGTCAAGTGGGGCTACAGGGAGACCCAGTCTCAAAAAAGACAAATAAATAAATAAATAATAAAAAATTTTAAATTCAGCATTCTTTCAAGACAAAAACACTGAACAAATTAGCTATATGCTATAGTTATATCGTCAATATAATAAACACTATATATTATAACACAAACCTATAGCCAACATCATACTAAAGGAGGAAAATCTGAAAGTATTTCTTCTAAGATCTGGAACAAGATAAAAAAGGTCCACTCCTGTCACTTTTAGTACTGTACTAGAATTGCAGAGCAATTAGGAAGAGTATGAAATAAAGGAACATATACAAAACAAAACAAGCAAAAACCCCCTCAAGAACAAAACCCTAATTTTTTTTTTTTTTTTTTTGGTCTTTTCGAGTCTGGCCTTGATCTCACAGAGATTCCCCTGCTTCTGCCTCCCCAGTGCTGGGATTAAAGGCATGCACCACCGTCCCCTTTGGGGGGGGGGATTAAAATGGGCAAGAAAATCTGAATAGAAAAATTTCAAAAGAAGGAAAAAGAACAGAAATGAAATTCAAAACCACAGTAACATATCATTCATTTTACCCCAGTCAGAATGTCTATTATTAAAAAAGCAAAAATTAGGAGCTAGGTGTGGTGTACTACATGCACTTGGGAGGCAGAGGCAGGCAAATCTCTGTGATATCAAGGCCAAAATGGTCTACACAGAGAGTTCCAAGTAAGCTGGGGCTGCAGGGAGACCCTGTCTCAAAAAACAAAGAACAACAAATCAAAAAGTAGCCAGGTATCCTAACTCAGACCTATAGTTCCACTCAAGAGGCTGCAGCAGAATTGCCACAAGTTTGAAATGAGATCAGCCTAGGATACATAGTAAGTTCTAGGCCAGACTGAGCTGCAAATAAGACTGTCTCAAAACAAGGACAGAAACAGAAGCAAAAAATATCAGCTGTCATGAGGATGTGGAAAAGAAAGTCAAGCACTGTTGGTAGGAATGTGAAAACCATGGTGGTAAATAACGTGGCAGCTGCTCAGAACACTAAAATTAAATCCCCCAGACAGCCCTGTTTTGGAACCATAGGAAATGAAATTGATAGAACAAAGTGACATCCTGACTCTCAGTGTTTACTGCAGTGCTGGCCACAAGAGTCAAGATACAGAAGAACCCAGGTGACCACCACTCTGTAAGTCAATCGAGAGAATGGAGAACCCATACAGTGGAACCCATTCAACCAGAAGAAAGCTTCTGTCCTTCACAGCAGCATGAAGGGTATGAAGACTGCACATCCTCTCACATGCATAAGTGAAAGGCTCTACCTGCTGGAACAGTAATAACTGTAGCCTAAGAAGAGTGGGGAGGAGGTGGGTTAGAAAATGGACATCAAAACAGACAGCAGTCGGCTCCAGTTTTCCACACCACTGTAGGGCAATGAGAGTTCACAATAACCTGGTATGTATTTTCTGAACTATAAAAATGACCAAAAAATCAGAAACATACTAATATTGG